TGATGCCCTGAGGATGTATTTTTCATCACAACCATGGAAGCTCCTGGCAAACTGTCACTGGCTGCTCACTGCCATTCTTATTATGATCTCCCATCTCATCTCCAAGTCTCCACTTGGAATTGCTTGGCTCTGCTGCTCATTACCTCATTAGCAATGTGAATTGACCAAACACCCACTCCAGCCAAAGGCATGTTGTTCCCTTCCCATCTGTCCACTGATTTGGGACACAAGCCTTTCTCTCCACGGTTTCAGCCCAGCACAGCACCAGAGTAAGTTGCAAAACACAGCTCCACTGCAGCAGTCGTGGGTGTAGCAGCAGGAGCTCCAGCAGAAACAGCCCTAAATGGCACAGCCAAGTCCAGGCTGCCTCCTGCTTCTCCCTGGAGATAAGCCCACCTTGCAGCCCATCAACACCACCACCCCCTGTGCTTCCCAGGTCCTCTCTGAACCAGGCTGACACCCATCCTCGTTTAGAGGTGCTCCCACTGTGCAGTGTGTGTGCATGATTCACTGGAGATTGCATTGGATTTGAGTTTCAGGGACATGTTGGTGCTTCTGGTCTTTTGCCTGTATCAAACCAATGCTGTCTCCTGACAAGCAGCAGTGGAGTGTGCTGCAGGAAGCTCTATTTTCCCTAATTCTTTCCAAAGCTCTCAGATTCTTAATAAACTGGTGCTTAGCTGTTTTAATCAAGCCCTTTCCCATGATGTTGTTATCCATATGACCACCCACCTAGAAGATATAGCAACATTCATGACAACCCTTATGCATCAATGACATCTTAAACCCCACATTTTAGCTTATTGCAAGCAACTGCCTTTTTTTTTTTTTCTTGTGGTTTTTAGATTTTAGGATCCTTGTATGAGCAATGTGAGTTAAGCAAAATCCTAAGTCCTTACATTCATTCTTGTGAAACATGTATTTGACAAATCAAATTGATTCTACTTTTTATTCTGTAGCCAGTGGGGACAAGACAAAGCTTCAGATTTGTCATGCTAGAGAATTCAGTGTACAGATTGACAGGACTTAAAGTAAGATCTCCTCTCACCCACCAAAGGCTTCTGTGGTTTCATCACAAAAGCTCTACATTGAATCTTATCTGCAGCTCCAGTAGACTGAAGGGAACACCATAAACCAACTCATATGGCAGATAAGTCATCCTGTCATTAAAGCATCTTCTTGCCAGTGAAAAATTACTTAAGCATGAAGACTCACAATTCCAGTAAGTTGGAAAACAATATCAAAAGGAGAGCAGAAGAATCAGAGCTCTGGGAAGGGGTTGTGTCTATCACTTGTCATAACCAGCACTAGATAAAACCCTTTATCTGATTCTCCACAGGGATACTGTAAGGTTTAACGATGCTTAGCACAAAATAAAATGCAAAAGATAGAAATATGAGTAATGGGTGATGCACAAGAATCAAAAATAAGCCAGTGTTCAACAACTGGTTGTTCTTACATTTGTGTGGGTAGTCCTCCTTTGGTTCAAATCCCTATGGATTTTGGGGAGCTCCTGTGCTTCACTTTTAGTGCAATACAACACACTTTTACTTCTTGTTAATAATCACTATTTCCTTGCCACCTAGAAGGCCTTCAGCAACATAATCTGAATTGAAATGAAGGCTCTGGTGCTCAAAAAGGCCCAGCAAATTGGGATCTGTCAAGTGCCTGCCCTGAGCAGTGTTAGGTGACACAAAGAGGATCCACACTCTTGGTTGCACCACATACATGACACAAGATTTTATTTCCATTAACTGCTTCTACACAGTCTGAAGAACTGTCTTTAAGCACTGAGATGAAAACCTGGGTTAGCTGAGTTACCCCAGCACAGCAGAGCTGCCAGAGCAGGGCTCAACTTGAGAAATATGTTTGATTTTGGACCTCAGCCATCAGAGGGCTGGAGCCCCTCTGCTCTGGAGCCAGCCTGGCACAGCTGGGGCTGCTCAGCTGCACAAGAGAAGGCTCCAGGGACACCTCAGAGCCCCTGCCAGGGCCTCCAGGGGCTCCAGCAGAGCTGCCCAGGGACTGGGGACAAGGCCTGCAGGGACAGCAGCCAGGCAATGGCTCCCACTGCCAGAGGGCAGGCACAGATTTTGGGCTCTTGGCAATTAGGAATTGCTGGCTGGGAGGGTGGGCAGGCCCTGGCCCAGGGTGCCCAGAGCAGCTGTGGCTGCCCCTGGATCCCTGGCAGTGTCCAAGGCCAGGCTGGATGGGGCTTGGAGCAGCCTGGGACAGTGGAAGGTGTCCCTGCCCATGGCAGGGGGTGGCACTGGATGAGCTTTAATGTCCCTTCCAAACTATTGTATGATTGTATCTAAGGAGTGCCTCAATGTTTACTGAAATCACATAACACAATAATATTCATCTCTTTCTTAATCATTTTCATGTAGTGTTTAATCTTCACTGCTCACTGGTTTTTCTAAGGCCACCATTCTCATTAAGTTTGGCTGACTTGCAATTCTAATGTACTCATTCTTTCTGCATGCCTTTGCTTTGGAAGTCCTTCATTTTCATCTAAACCTTCACTCCTACAGGATGAGTTGTCAGCATCTCTACACCCTGTATTAAGTTATGTAATTAAAAGATAAAGAGTAGTTCTAGAATATGTTCAAGTTGATACCACACATGCATGAATAAACATATGTCTCTATGTATATAAATGGTACAAGTTAATGGAAATCATATTCACATCTATTTCAATTAATATCTTTAAACACAAAACCTTCTACAAGAAGGTGGTGGCACAGCAAACTGCAGAGCTATGCAGTGAAAGGTATTCTGTGTGTTTATGCTGACATACAATTATTTTTGTGCACTTCAGACATCTCTCCGGAGTCCTGTAAATATATACAAATAAAATCAGTTCTGTGAACTGTAGTCTGCAAGTTTTCCATTCAGTGGAAAGAATTATTCATTAAAGGAAGACTTGTTTTCATTTTATGACAACAGCATAAAGTTGAGTGTCAGATTAAGACTCTCAGGAGATGTCTGGTGACAACACAGTCAGAAAGGTGATCAAATGTAAATAGTAAACAATTTTGACACAGCTCTGCAGTAGTCACCACACAGTCTCATCTCCACACTTACACAGTACTTTTTTTTATTTTCTTGTATTCCCAGGTTCCATACAAAAAGATAAATGATATCTCTAACACACTTAGGTGTGAAATATGTTGCAGGTAGACTTATCCCTGACTGAAAAGCTTTCAGCTCCACTGTCAGTAACACAGAACCACAGAATGTCTTGAGATGGAAGAGACCCATAAGATTACCCAGTCCAGCTCCTGCCCTGCACAGACCCCCAGCAATCCCACCCTGTGCATCCCTGGCAGTGCTGCCCAAAGGCTCCTGGAGCTCTGGCAGCCTCGGGGCCGTGCCCATTCCCTGGGGAACCTGGGCAGTGGAGATACAGTCACTGACATATCACATAACACAGGCTCTGAAATGCACTTTTTTTCTTCATTGATATTATAACTTTTCCCATTTATATCTAGCTTGTGTGGTTTGTTTGTGTAAAAACCACTTGCACCTTGAACCTCTTTGTCTTTGAAGAGGCTGAAGAGACTGAGAGCAGCACTGTGGCTCAGCCCCTCACGACTCTGTGTTTTGTATTCAAAGCTTTTGGTTCCCAGTCATGCAATCAATGATGGTTCAATTGCCTCTGTCAAAGGTGTCTAGAGGAGGAAATCTATATTTGTTTATTTTCTCATGACTTCAAGATGATGTGTGTCTTTGTGTCACACTGAGTTCTTTCATACGCCAAGTGCCGAAACTGAAGGCTTTGTAAATACAGACTATATATGCAGATACTGAAAAGGCAACAAGTGAGGAAGATAGATACACACACCAACACATATACACATGAATCCTTTTCCCCCCTGCTCTAGGAGAAAAAACTGCAGTGGAGGCTGGTTGCTCTTATAAAGATCCTTTACAAAGCCAACCAGCAGAGCAGCAGGAAGCACTCGTACAGGATCACATTACAGCAAGAGCCTGAACAGGAACTGCAGCATTGCTGTGATTCAGTGACAGGATGATTTCTGGCAGGTTAGACTCTGCAACTTCTGCTTGCCTTTGAAGTGCTATCAGCTCCACAGCTGCAGTGGTGTATGGTTACAAAATGATGATATTTAAAATAAAATGGGCAATTTACCCAGTGTTTTGTTTATACACAAGTACTAAGTGTAAGGTTCTTTTAATTGTTTTTACTTTTTTCTTTATTTTACAGCTCTTTCTAAGATTTCCCTGCTGCTTATTGAACTTGATGCTACACATGACTCAGGATTTTTAATTACTCCTGTAATTGGTGTTCCAGGAAGAGAGCCCAAATATCCACCCTATGCCTGTGCCTGGATTTGTGCAGATGGCCTGGGATAGCTGTGGAGTTCTTTAGGCACAACTGCTGCCAGTTTTCTGACTCTGCTTATGACCCTGCAGACACCTGAGCCCATGTCAAACCAGGAAGTACAAAGAGTGCAGCAGCACATCAGTGCTTCTCATGTTGCCAAATACTGTAAACAAAGGCAATACTCCAGCCTTATCTTGACAGAACACTTTTCCCCTAGGCCCTGAAAAGAATTTAAGTTAAACTATGTTTTCATGGAATACATGTTTTATTCTAAAGACCACATTCCCCAGTGTGCTCTGTATGCACCAATGCTCTCATGTTGGGACATTCTCTGCCGAAGTCCCATTCTCCCATACTGCCACACCTTCACACACAGCATTGGCAGGGAAACAGGAGAGGCCAGGACATAGAAGCCACCCTCCTGCAGACTTCATGGATGCTTATGGCATATTCCAAAATGTCCCCAGGGCTTGCAAGGGGGAAACAGTGCTTGGTGATCCCTGACATCTTCTGCACTGTGGGGAGCAGTGCCAAGCAGCCAAAGCACACTGCAGATCTCATTTTTCATACAGCCTGTGCTCACATTTGTGGTTCACACAAGGAGAGAGAGAGAGAGAGAGATCTCCACAGCCATTCCCTCGGGTGTTGGTACCTGGTGCCTGTGTCACTGCCACTCTTCACTGCTCCGTCATCCGTGAAATTAAAGGTGCCGGTCCAATTTGCCAATTCCTCTCCATTCTGCCAGCTAAACTGCAGCCCTCTAGCAAGAAAATGAGGCAGTTGATATTTGATATCATTCATTAGGTCAAGGCTATCAGCATGAGTTCTCATGTCCTATTTCTTAACATACACATGTGACTATGACACATTCATCAAAAACAATTAAAAGATACCAAGCACAACAAGATACCACCTTACTAGGGTAAACAAATAATTTTTACTTCCCACAGACTCTGCAAGTCCTTGGATGAAAACAATACCAAGCTCCCCATACAAATTTGAAGGCCAGTAGTTATCTGTGCTCATAAACACACATCTATGAGGAGGTAGAAATTTCTTTCTCCAAAAGACAAGGGCAAAAAGTTGGAGATAGGGGAAACCACAGGGCCAAAGAAGTAAAAGCTCCAAACTTCAGTTTTGCATCTACAGTAGTTGCTAAATGTGTTGGGCACTGGGTTCTTCCTCTGATTTGCTGGCTCTGCTAGCAAAGGATGTGTCATTTGATGATGTCTCTAAAGTCATAATACAGTGCTTATTTTGCCTGTTTGGTAAGATGGCATTTTTTTTAAAGCCAATGCATAAACAAAATCATCACAAGTCCCTGTTTTCCAAACTTTCACAGATTTGTTCCAACCCCCATGATGCCTGCAGTCTTCTGGAAACTACACCAATAGCAGGGTAGAAATTTACAAATGCTAAGGAAATATTTGACAACACAAGTCAAAAGCCTTCTCTTATCTCAGAAGCCAACAAAAAAGGATCTTGCAGATTGTTATTTTTAAACTTCTCCTTTTTAACCCTATTTCATTATTTCAGAAGCCTGGCAAGCTGAGTTGTGAACATTTGGTGCTGCCAATACTGAAAGTTAACTTCCCAGTTGGGCTGTGTGGGGACAGCCAGGAAGCAATACGCCAGCAGGCTTTGTCCAAAAGAAAGGGCATCCAGGACCACGATAGCTTTGCTGGTCACCAGGCTTATGACAAGGGCTGGTGAATCTCTCTGGCCACATCCATCCTCTAGTCTAATTGGAGCAATTATCAGCACAGGGAATTAAGAAGGAACAACATGGGGTGTTAAAATATGCCCAGTGGAATCTCATGAGGTTTAACACGGCCAAGTGCTGGAGCTGCACCTGGGCCAGGGCAGCCCCTGGGATCAACCCAGGCTGGGGCTGAGCAGAGGGAGCAGCCCTGGGAGAAGGAGCTGGGGGTGCTGTGGGTGAGAGCTGGACCTGCCCCAGCCTGAACCCCCTGCCCTGGGCTGAGCCCCAGCGTGGGCAGCAGGGCAGGGGGGATCCTGCCCCTGTGCCCCTGGGCTCAGGTGAGAGCCCACCTGCAGAGCTGCCCCAGCCCTGGCTCCAGCAGCACAAGGAGCTGGAGCTGCTGCAGCCAGTGCAGAGGAGGCCACGGAGCTGCTGCCAGGGCTGGAGCCCCTCTGCTCTGGAGCCAGCCTGGCACAGCTGGGGCTGCTCAGCTGCACAAGAGAAGGCTCCAGGGACACCTCAGAGCCCCTGCCAGGGCCTCCAGGGGCTCCAGCAGAGCTGCCCAGGGACTGGGGACAAGGCCTGCAGGGACAGCAGCCAGGCAATGGCTCCCACTGCCAGAGGGCAGGCACAGATTTTGGGCTCTTGGCAATTAGGAATTGCTGGCTGGGAGGGTGGGCAGGCCCTGGCCCAGGGTGCCCAGAGCAGCTGGGGCTGCCCCTGGATCCCTGGCAGTGCCCAAGGCCAGGCTGGATGGGGCTTGGAGCAACTTGGGACAGTGGAACCTCTCCCTCTCCATGGCAGGGGGTGGCACTGGATGTGGCTAAAGTTTCCTTCCTGCCCAAACCACCCTGTGATTCCATGATTCATACCAAAGTGTGAATACATTATGCTATAATGGCCATTGGGTAGTGCAGTGCTCTGGATTGTCAGGCTGCCCCATAACTCGTGTGTTGCTCTGGCAGTTTTTAGTCAGCTGACCTGCCCAAGGTACAGTTTATGAGTGGAATATTGATGTGAAGAAAGCATAAGAAAATTACTTGGACACCTTCACTTTGAGGCTTGTTGAAATAAATGCTTGTGGTTCTCTCCCAGATACCACAGTCTAACACATTTTTTACCACTCTGTAACTGGTGTAGAAACATGGTTTCTTTAAAAATATATCTTTGTAAAACACAATTATGTATATGGCCTTAAAAATATCTTTTAATTGTTTAAGCTATCATTGGAAGAGAGGGTAGAAGTGTGGGAAAACCAAGCTGGAATTGTGCCTTTTTATTGGATTTAAATTCTCTATTTGGGACTTCGATATTTGCTTGCAATCTGAAATAGAGAGCATTAATCCAGATAAATGGCTGGTGTTGGTGTCTCTTCCAGAGGTGAACTCTCCTACAGCACAGCCAATAAAATGATTAAATGAAGAATTGAAACATGCAGTAAAGTCCTTTCCCCATCCTTTCTGTATGTAGCCGCTGAAAGGAAATCTAAGTAAATGTTCCAAGGTGGAGGGGGGTGAACCTGTCCATCACGCAAAACAAATTGTAAAATCACTTTTTAATGCCCTCCTTTCATCAAGCTGGTATCGGGGAAGGGCGTGCACTGCAGCAGAGGCACCAAGTGTAAAGGACATTCACATTTTGGGTAAGATCCAAGGGGAGATTGGAAGACTAACCCTGAGGAATGGCAGATATGTCTTATGATGACCAGCTTGGTATAGTTAGCTTTGAAGTGGCAGGGTGGGGATCTAATGGAGGTACAAAAATATCCAGTGAGGGATCTAGGGATGACACTTCTCTGTGGTTAAGGACAAAGTACAGAGCTTTGAGCTGAGTTTAGGGTCAGATTAAAGTTAAGTGTCCAGCCCTGAGCCAGCCAGACCACACAGAGCTCTTCTTCCAACAGGTACTGCAGGGATTAACAGAATACAGACTTATAAATACACAAAACACCCCACCAAAGAAATTTTGCACAGCTTATAGGGCTGTGTGTCTCACTGTGAGTCTGCAAGACTAAGACCAAGCTGCTTCTCTGCATTTTTTGCAGAGGTGGTACAATAAATCTCTTTCTCACAGTAAGAACTACTTCCATAAATAATGGTTTGTAGTATTAGGACTGAGTAGGAACCAAGGATGAGACATTTAAAAACACTGCATTAATTCTGTTTCTGACAGGATTACTGAGAGCTTTACCATTGATTTCAATCAGCCTTGAGTTGGGAGAATATAATTTTTGAAATACAAAATTTTCTAATCCTCTCAGGTTTGAGTTGTAAGCATCCGTAAAAAATTGTTTGGCCAAATGTGCAAACAGCCTGAGAAAACAGAAAGAGACTTGAACCATTTCATCAGTGTATTTCTTTGGCATTCTATTTCAGTAAAATTCTACCATGTTCACTCTCAGCAGTAACTGCATTTAAACAGGTAAACAAATTAAGGTTTCTGTGAATCAGAATCGCAATATAAAAGCACACAGAGGACAGAAGCACAGAAAAGGAAGAGAAAAAGCATCAGAGCAAAAGGGAGGGTAAGGAAAGATTAAAAGAAGGTGAGGAAAGCTGATGAAATGACTGAGACATCGAGGTCTACTATGTAATTTACATAGCTCATGTCAGACAGTTGAAACAAAAAAAAACAGAAAAAAGGGAGAAAAGGAACAAAGAAAAAAATAAACAAATTTAGAAAGAAAAAAAATAAAGAAAGAAAAGCCAATTTGAAGCCTGGAATCATTGCCAATGATTGTCGAGTGGAACTTTGCCATTTGCTCAATTTGCCCTAATATAACAACTTCTAAAATTGGGATGTGTCCCCAACGTGTGATGCTGATGATGGCAAGGAAAGAATTCATAAAAGGTGTAATAACCAGAAACCCTGTCAGTGCAGAGATGCTTCATTTTGCCCATGAATGTAAGCAAATTGTCCATCAAGGAAGATGTACGTCAGTTATGGATACCATTAATCACAAGACTTATCCCAAACAAATAAAAGTATGAGCAATGCTCTGCCTTGCGTTGCAGAAACTCCGTGAGGTTGGATGCCTTAGCAACAGAGGCCTTGAGTTTCAGGTAAATGTCAGAGCAATATTTTGATCCTAATTGGTAACTGTAAGTGTTGAATCAGTGTGTGGTCAAATAAACATCGGTGTAAAGTAATAATAGGAGGAGGGGGTAAAAAGCCAGCAAATTAACAAAGCAGCAGTGACTCTGAAGGGCTTGTCAAAACCGGCTGTCAGGAAGCAGCAGGAAGCAAAGACTGAAAGCCTGTTGCTGCAATCCAAACAAAAAACAACTCCTACACAAGCAGAGGTTTTAATAGCAGAGGATGTCAGATAATTATGAGGATTTTGAACTACAAGGCAAGAATGAGCAAGTGGATGAATTGCAGAGGGAAGCTTTGCACCCGTGCTGCTGTCACACTGAGATCCCTCCTTAGTGGTGCCTATTGTCAGGAAAGGAAAGGTGAAAACCTACTTCAGACCAGAAAGCAAGGTGTATAAAAGAGAGCTGCTGAAAGAAGGAGATCCAAAAGTCTCCAAGCACAGCTGAGGGTCATGTCTGGGCTCTACCCAGAGAATGGGCCGTGACCGTGTGTGCAGCAGAGCCTGCTCAGGAGAGATCCATGTGCTTCCCAGGCACAAGAGCAGCTTGGGGCTGGTGGCTAAATGACACAGTCATCAGCACCTCTGGGTGACAGGGACTGCCTGGCAGTGGGGCCATCACCTGCCACTCCAACCACAATTATTCCCCAAATACCACCAGTTCATCCCATTTAATCCCAGGCAGCAGGCGACTTCCACTCATCTCTAAAAGGTGACAGCTACAACTATCCTCATTTGGCATCTACCACAGGCAGGCTAAATCCAAGCCCAAGCAAAAACCAGGCAGAAATGAATGTTATTTTATAATGGTGAAGCTAAGCCAAAACCTGACTCAGCTTTGCTGGCCTACACAGATGGGCAAGGAAGGAGAAGCAGAGGAAGGGAAGGAAAATATGGATGTCCCCAAGAACAAGGCAAATTATTTGTCTTTCTGAGCTCCCTCTATTATTTGTCTTCACTTCTC